TTTGATCATGCACAATAAAATCGTTTATCAATTACATTCGGCACGGGATAACAAAATTATTCTTTAATATTAAAATATTATAAATGATATGACAATATAAATATTATAAATAATATAACAATATGTTATATTAAAACAATAATATTACGGAATAATAATAATTTATTGCGAAAATATATACTTATAAAATTTACTTAAAAAAACAAGGAAATTGTATACTGAAATACAAAAATAATATATCTAATACGAAATACGGAAATAGAATCTTCTATTATAACATCTACCAGAGAGAAAGATAAAAAATATACGTAAGTTTATCTTATGCAATTAAAATAATGTTTTATTATAATTATTAGCTATAAAAAATAATTACGAGAAATAATTTTGATATATGCAGTAACTTATTTCCTCGATCTAACTCACAAACAATACTAAACTATCTAAATATTCTTATGATTAATGACATTTACTCCTATCAACTTCTCAAATGTTACTACTGATGAAACTAATTTTGACACGAATAGTCGTATATTGTCGTATATTTTTACCACGCTAAAAGAAAAATTCATTTTCCAACCGCCAACGGGAAAAATTTCCAATCACATAAATCATGTAAATTACGAATGACAACAGTGTGAAATAAATGAATCATGTGATGAATTGTACCTACTATTCAGTCTTCCATCCCCCTCTCCTCCTCCTCTCTCTCTCTCTCTCTCTCTCTCTCTCTTTCTCTCTCTTTTTCTTTCTCTGGAGTGATATAAACCCTTGCGGACCAGATTTGTCAACCGTGATCAGCGTCATGAGTTTGTCAACGCGCGATGTCGAGTTCGCTGTTAAAATGACTCCAAGAGAGACACTTAAGCGCGATTACTGACATATCGTTGCGTACTCCGGTTTCGCAATAAAATCCATTTTAAAGTTCTCTCGTCGCAAAGTCACCCTCCGGGCACGTTTCTCTGTCCTGTCAGCGCGCACTTATGACTCGATGTATAAATATACGCACTAGCTTCCATCGATGCATGTATAGTTTATTTCACACTATGGAGAATGTAAATAATTGTAGATCAAAATAGATTTTACTTTTGTAAAGATACTTTACTCTAAAATAGATATGATAAACACACAACTAGTAGGAGCAGATTCATTTGTCGCTTTCTTTAAAAAATAATTGCTTCACTTTTGTATAATTAATTAAATGTTCATGATAAAATATTTATGTAATTATATTTCACACTTGTTGTTTATGCGCATAAAATACTTCATTGATTCGATAAATAGAAAGATAATAATTTATGTATTATAATACAATAAAACACGTTTCAATAATTTATAAATAGATTTCGACCATTGAGATACGTATTTCATTAATCCAACGCACATGAAAGCGGAGTGACAAAATTATTGAATATGTTTTATTGAAACAATTAATTCCAATGTATATAATATATGAAGTATCTAACATAAATACAGCGTACATGTGCGATCGATAGGTAAAATTTAGCGCAAACCAACAGGTTGAATAGTCACCCAATATTAAGGAATTATATTTTACTGCAACAGCGTGATATTTAAATGCATATTCTTGATATATTTTATTTAATGACCAACATTTTATTTAGTGATTGAATATTTATTAAAGTATTATTAATGTTTTAAACGAGTGCTATTTAAACGAATTGTTTGCACACGATCAATTGATCGTGACTGTGAAAGCGTTTAATTCCACATAATCAAATAAAACAAAAAAATTCATTTTGACCCTCACAATGAGAGTTTGCTGTCCATCAAAGAAAACCGCATGAAAGCCAATTATTAGAAATATTAGAATTATTATTTATTTCATTTATTGAACCTATCTCTAAAACTCTTTTACTTATTAAACTAACTTCATTAAAGTTTACTCTGATCAAGATAAGTTTTTTATTTGTGTTAAATAATTTTTAATTGGTTATATATCTAATTTTATTTTCTTTTCAGAATATTAAAAATAAATATACAAAATAGACATATTTAAAGGGTATAATATAATTTAATTAATTTTTAATTAAAGTAAAATTTCTTAATATTGTTTAGTTAATTTGGGTTTAGAAAAATATCGAGATGGATTATCTATATTAAGATATAATAAACTAATAAACATTGTAAACTATCTTTTACCCGAACAAAAATTAAGTACAATTATTTAACTTAAAAACATTAGCTGTAATTTAAAAATTATTTGATTGCAGCAACTAAAACTAATGGGTAAATCGCCTTCAAGTACATAGCTTTATCGAAAAAGTTGTACCTACGTTCCGTTAACCACATTAATTCAACAGCGGCTCGTTAATTCCCCAATTGCATTCCAATTGGGTATGCGAGTTGATCACGCTACGTTTTGACGCGGGAACCAGAATTGACTGTCAAAAGTCGACAGGTTTTGAGATTAAACGATGACAGATCCGCAGTTTGTCACTCGAGAATGTAAGCAATCGAGGTCACAAAGTATATGCTTTAAAACCTCAAGAAACGTTCTTCTGTAAAAGACATTAAAGAAAATTTATCCAGATATAATATATACATCAGTATAATCGGGATTCAAGAAGCAAGAAGCAATTAAAAAATTTGCACAATTATATATCAAAAAGTGTAAAAATAATGTTCAAGAAGAAATGTATAGTATAATTTACTTAATAAGTGTTCCTACTTTTTATCATTATTTTATAGTAACATTATTTTATCACTATTTTATAATAACATTTTATAATAACATATAGAAAGTTTGAAAATTAATAATGTGTAATTGCATTCGTAATTCTATCAATTATTTATCAAAGCTAATAATCTGTCATCAAATGTAATAAGTGATCCATCAGATATACAGACAGTTATATTCTTTCTTTCATGTGCAAGGAAATTTACAACTCTCGAATACACTTGTGAATAGTGAAAGCGATGCAACGGGCAATTTAAGAAACGAACGGTCAGTCCCGTCGGGGTTAATTGATTCGCTGCCTTTGGACAAACGCGTGATCATGTGCAATGCTTCGCGTTGCGACATGCACTCTTCCCTCGAATTATCTTCCACCTCGCGTGACGTATGCCCACGTTTTGTTATGTGAACTTTTTAGCTGGATCCCGGTTCGCCGGCAGGGAACATCGAAACTGACGAATCGGCGAAGTGCAATTTACTGTAAAAAGTCGCATATGCACGGCCGCACGATCATGACCGTAGTAATTAACACAATCGTGTCATACAGAATTCATGCCACAAAACTAGGGGCGAGTCTCGCCAGAATTATCGATTAATCGACATAACAGGATACACGCTTGCTTCTTTTGTGCAACACAACTATAATACACAATACGATTTTCGCGGATCTTTCGACCATCTTTCTTGTAATACGTGGCCTTGACGTAGTTACGTAACACACCTCAGAGGAACTACCTCGTGATCAGTCTCGTTTTGTTCAACGACCCGATGGTTTTAGGGTCTTATTAAAATAGATCGCTATTAATATAATGAGTCGGAGAACGCATGACCGAGGTGTATGCCGCTTCCGAGAACTGATTTTGCAGTAGATATTGTAACGGCACTGACGTCGATGGTCCTTCTGAAGCTGAATTCTAATGCTCACACATACTGTGATATTGTCACGCCGCCGAAAGCGGGACATAATTTTTTCGAGAACGTTTATGAATCTCTGTGACTGACACTAAACTTCGGAGTACTTCGCTTGTTACGATTTTTCTTTATCGTTAAAAAAAAAGCGAATACATGTCGGAAATTAGTCAATGCAATGTCTGCACTTATTATAACTAAGAAATATACACGTCAAATTTATAAAAGTTATTGTCTGCAATATTTTTTCTGGGATGAAACGAAAGATTTTAGTAGTTTGATTTATTGCAACTCAAAATATTGTAAAATATAAAAAAAGAATAATTATGTTGGTAAAAGTGACCGACTTCGTTCTTGCAAAATTAATATCTCACATATATGCATAAATGATATTGCAATGAAAGAAAGTTAACGTTCTCGGATAAAAGCGCAAAGAAAATGTCGACAAAAAAAAGTTAGATACACCACAGGAGATTGTTGAGGTTTATTGCGATCCCGCGGAGCTTACTAGTTTTATCCATTATCCATATAGTGCCACAGGCACCTACCTTCAAACTCATACTCATACCAATAAATGACGAAAGATAAACACAATCGTATGTACTTGATCTTATTTACAATACTATAAAGTCCATTATATCATAATGTTTGTGTTATGAAACAATGATTTGCGTATAATATTGTTTATTAACAGTTCAAACATGAACGAGCTTCATATGTGTTTCTGATTTTAGAAGCTAAATTTCTCGACTATTTTTTATGCGTCCATACAATTTTTAATTTTCTTATTTTTAAAGATTTTTTTATTTTTTAAGATATTATATTTTACTTAATTATATTGCACAATAAATAATTTTTGGTGCAATAATTTTAAGAAATATACAGTCTATTCTTTCTGAATAAATTGCTAATTACTCAGCAAGAAATGACCATCAATTAGACGTCGAGTTGATGTTGAACTGGTATCGATATTATCGTTTCAATATCGACATCAATTCAATGGAGAATGGAAACAAAGCATCATCAAAAACAAAGCAAGCTTTCACTTTTTCCAATATAATTCTTGAACTAAACAAAAGATAGAGACAAATAATGTTTAGAATTAAAGTTTAAATATAAGCTGAGGGCTACAAAGTGACATAACAATAAAATTCTTTTTATTTTTAATTAAAAAAAATTTTTTTTATCATTTTATAATCCCCATTAATTTATCATTACACTTTAATTTTAAACATTTGTCTTTATTAGTTTAAAAGTCATATGCGAAAAGATTGCATCTTTTTACTTTTAAGTTCGAAAATCATATCTTTAAGAGTAAACGCATACTATATTATTTATGTATTAAATTACTCTACATATTTACAAAAGTTCATTCAAATCGAAGATTTCGGGTTTAACGATGTTTCCTTGTATGTAAAAACTGGTATGATACATTAACAATATTTTTCACGTAAAGGCTTCATACAGCTGGGCACGCTATTGATAAATGTGGAAAGGATGTATCTGTTTTTGATGGTGATCCATGTTTTGCTCATTAATAAAGGAGTGGATGCCGAAACGTTTACTTTAGGATACATCACCGGATCAAAACGACGTGATAATGATCTTGAATATCAACGTCCCGGCCTTCGGATATCCGGTGCTCTCACTCTCGCCGTGGAGGAGGTAAATAATCGTTTTTACCGTTCGGCGTTCTCTCACTCTCCCTAATGTTTTAAATACGAATAACTGCGATTAGAATTGCGGAAATGGATAATTAAATTTAGCAATTTAATTCACATGGAAATATGATTATCTAATTGAATGTCAATTAAGCGAAATTAGAATAACTTACAGTTACCATAAAATAACACTTCCGGTTTATTCTTGTTGAATCTTATATCATTATCATTAATTAATTGAAACATATTGAAACAGCTTCAAAAGAGCTCTTTGAAATTAGGGAAGAAAATGGCGAGAAATTTAAAAAGATTTTTCGCGAAATAATTCATAAGATGATTTGCTTCCAATTACGACAGAACATATTACTGCGGAATATTTTTACACAAGCATTGAATAAAGTTAACTATTTTCTACTACTCCTTTTAATTTTTCTATTTTAAATGTTCTTCTTGAAAATAGTATTGCTTAAAATGCAGGTAAACGCCGGGGAACTTAATAGACGCGGACATAAGTTGGACTTTTTCGTTGCCGAAACTTATGGTAATGAAGAAATGAGCATTTTGATGACGGCGGATTTGTGGAAAAAAAACGTTTCCGCATATATCGGTCCTCAAGAAACTTGCATCCATGAAGCCAAAATGGCAGCTGCATTCAACATTTTAATGATATCATATGTATAATCAAATCTTATATTATTAATTTTAATACTTCTTACTACTTGATAGCATGTATATAATTGGATAAAAGTGAAAGCTTTCACTGACAAATATCACATTTTCCAGTTTTGCACGCATAACGAAACGTCGAATAAAAAGGAATTTCCAACGTTTGCGAGAACAAGGCCACCAGATAGTCAAATTGCAAAATCCGTGGTTTCAGTACTGATGGCTTTCAATTGGACCAAAGTGGGTGATACTCTGTAGTTCACTTTGATAAGCGCATGTTTCTAATAATATTAATGTAAAATTAAATTAAAAATTGCTTTATCTATATATGTATATTTTTTTTTGTAAACATTTTATTTATCACAGGTAACATTTTTATATATGAATTCAACAATGTTCGAGTTCAATAAGATGTCTACGGTTGCGACTACAATTCTAATGTCTTTCGAAGCAGCTGGAATTGCTGTAAATTATTGTCTTTCGTGGAACGAACCTTATCATGTAACCCACATGAAAAATCCTTTCCACGAACTCGTTAGACAAACGTATCGAGGTACGCGAAGTAAGTAACAAGAATGTTTATTTCCAAACAACAATTTCTGTATTACTATCACATTTATCAAAATAAAATCGTAATTTTACTAACTCGTATAATGCATTTTTATCATCGACAATTCTTTTTGAAGCATATGGGCCAGACTTTTAAGATTAATCTTCTTTTCGTTTTTTATTTAAAAGTTCAGTTCCACGAAAAACGTGTATTTTTTACCAATCAAATGGCGCGATTTAAAATAGACTACCCGCATTTCGATACCTTGATAAATGTCGCAATACGAAACTTGCATAAAACAACCCGCATACCAGGGACCCGGACCGAAAGATTATTTTTCGATTCGGTTCCGGTCACGGTTTAATAAAATATCAAATAAATTTTCTAGTTTCAATTCCGGTTTTTTTTTATCAGTAACAAAAACGTAAAAATTACGGTTTTTAACGGTTTTTTCGGTTTTATTTATTTGCTTTATTTTATTTATTCTTTAAATTTGTTTTATTAAAAAGAAAGAGGAGGAGGAGGAGAAGAGAGAGAGAGAGAGAGAGAGAGAGAGAGAGAGAGAGCGTGTTCATCCGTTCAATCTAGAGCTTAGTCAAAAAAAGGCGTCAATGGATCTGAATAAAAATTAACATTATATTAACATTATATTTCTCTCAGTTCTTTCTTACAACTTATTTGATTCTTATGGATAAATCTCACTTATTACATAAAGTCCACATATATGTTTTTGAATTTCATGACTAGAATAAATTCTTGCAATATATTGATGAGGAAGATCTAAATAAAAGAAATGCTAGTATCTTAAAAAAGTTTACATTAAATATGTCTCGCGATTCCGCCAGATTTCTTATATCGAAATGTTGGAGGTATTTACATTCCGGTTATTAAGAGAGCTGGCGATAGTAATACTGGATTGAACATTGGTGATTTGAAGAAATAGGCAGAACAAAGATTAAGAACAAGGATAAAGATTAAAAATAAGAAAAAATAATCTAAATATACTGAAAAAAGAACCGAAAAAGTACTGAAAAAAATCATAAAATTTTACCAGTTCGGTTATGGTTTCGGTATTATAAACTATACAAAATTTGGGTATGGTTTCGATTTCGGTTCACTAAAAAAAAAAGTTCCGAAACGGTTTTCGATTCCGAATTTCGGTTTGGTCCCTGCATATTACAAGGACAAATGTCTCAGACTTGTGAACAGATATTGCATGCCATTCATTTCATTAGTCACGCATAATCTGTTTAGACATATTAAATTAAAAAACTGAATTCTAAAAATAAACGCTTAAATGTAACCGGTTATTAGTTACATTAGTCTCTTTAGACATATAAATTAAAAAACTGAATTCTAAAAATAAACGTTTAAATGTAACTGGTTTAGCAATCACGATTTGAAAAAGCGAACACGACAGACTAACAACCGGAAAAAGAAATTCTAATTATCGCACGATTGTAAATTATGTTCTAGTTTACTTGATACTTGGACATTATTATGAACACATCGGTCTCTTGATGGCTCTGGACAAAATGAATCTCTTGGAAAAAGGTATAAATTTGCTGTAGAATAATCAGGAAAACTGTGGAAACTGTGAAGAGTAACTGTCATTAGTTAAATAATAGACGATAGCATCACAATGATCATATGAGAATTGTGGAATCTATATAATAATGTATTTTGTTTTCATCGGGATAATCCAAGTAAACAAAAATAAAATAATTGAGAAATGTGTTATATTTTTTATTAACTTACTTTCATTGATACTAATTAACAGTATTTTTAAGTAAATATAAATATCACAAGACATATACATATAATATATATACAAAAGATATATATAAGATATATAAGAGAAATGTGACATATCTTGACATGGAAACAGCGCATGATACTCGTATATACATATATTCACTGTTAAGACAATGGAGCACTGAGTTTGAAAATAAAATCGAATTAATTATTTTTAACGTTACTCCGTCGTGAATTTTTTATAATTAATTTCCAGAAAATAAATTTTCAAAATCTGACTAACAAATTAAGAAATAAATAATAACAAACAATTATTAATTCTTTCAATACAAAATAGTTTATAAACATCCTATATATATAAAGTTTCATATATAATATATATAATTTTTTGTATAATTTTAATTTTCAACTTATACTTTATTAATTTTATAACTATTTTTCACTCTCGCGCACGCGCGTATCGTTCACCTTATCTAAATAATACTATTTTTAATTATTTCATATTGTAGGCGAATATTTTGTCGTTGGTATTGACATTGAGTTTTACGATGAGAAGCATCCGAATAAATATCTGAAAGGGCTATTACAAAAAAACATGGATTTTTCAATAATACGAGCATATCGAAGTTATTTCAGCATTGTTGCCTCTGCCCCAATCAATTATATGAATTTCACTCGACTGGTTAACAAGTACAGACAGAAGCCACCATTCAATTTTACGAACCCATCAGCAAACGTCGGAGGAATAGTTCAGGTGACTACCAGAGATGATAAAAATTTTGCAGAAACATATCCCTGAATTTGGAGATTTTAATAATACAAAATTAGAATTTTGATTTTTGTTTGACTTTCACCTCCTTTCATTTTTGCAATATATTTTAGAAAGATGATTCAATCTTGTTTGCAAATTTTCCTTCTTATAAGTAGCAGAATACATTGTATTGTCAATAATACAGAATATTGTAAAAAATGTTTTTATTTTAAATTATCTTCTGAGAATTTTCCAAGAGTGATTCATTAACAAAAAAGCTATTCGTTTTCACTATAAAAATTAAAAAAATTAACATTACAACATTTTATACTAACTCGTATATGTTACAGCGCAATTAAAACGCGGAGCGCGTTCATTTATCTATAATCATTCACATATCAACGTGATGTACTTTGAAATTATGAATATCAATAGGATAGATATCGTGACTTGGATTATATGAATTGATGAGTTGTCTTCAGCAAAAAGAAATGATAATGATAGAGCGAACGATTGTGATAATTTTGTAAATACTTGCATATTGAACAGATTAATATTTATAATTTTAAAATACAACACGTTAGTATGTGAATGATTACGGGTAATTAAGTGCGCACTCCGCGTTTTAATTGCACTATAACATACGATTAGTATAAAACGTAATGTTAATAGGCCTTTCCGCTAAAATCACCCCCAATCCCAAAGCATAATTTATATTATAACATATAATATGTAGATAGTGCCGGAGACAGCGTATCTATATGATGCAGTACATTTATATGAAAGGTCGCTGCTGCGTGCACTAAAGAATAATATAAATCCATGGAATGGGAAAGAAATGTTATCGACATTGCGTGGAATACATTATCAAAGTGCAATGGGGTATGTATATGAAAAAACATGAAATAAAGGCATGAGAACGATCGTTTGTCATATTTAACATTTTTTTTGTAACATTTTTATTATATGGTATGCAAATCAAATGCTTCACAAGGAGAGAACATCACTTGCGGTAGTTTTTCGCCAAAAAAATCAATTGAAAATGGTAGAGAGAGAGAGAGAGAGAGAGAGAGAGAGAAGAGAGGAGGGCAGGGAAGCTTTCACGCGAATTTCAATTATTTTTGATAAAATAATTACTGTACATGCCGTAAAGAGATCGTTAAAGAAGCTAAATTATTTATCATTCGCGATCGCCGCGTTAAGAAGACTTAGTGATTCGGTGTTTAAAGCTTTATTTTTATACATCCCTTTCAACAGGTGAGACTGCATCGGGAAAAAAAATTCATCCGATTAAATATAAATAAAATATTCTGTACTTTATAAAAGCAATTGTCCCGAGAAATGTTTTCAATCGTTCATCATCGTTCCGAGAGATGTTTCAATCATTCATGCAACAGGCTTTTGCATTGAACTTTTGTTATGAGGATTTGAAATTGTTTTGTACATGCCTGATTTTTTGTGTATCACGTATTGCATCAATATATTGATAGTATGTCAAGCTGCC